CCATGCTGTTTAAAACTGTAATCAAAGTGATTAGTCCTCTATTGTCTGGTGTACAACTGCAACATGATAGCGAGTACATGTAATGTTTTTACTGTTTAGATACTTTGTGACATGTGACTCACTTTTTTTTAAACCCCAAAATTGGGAGTTTTGCTTACCAGTTGTGAGAGAATATTCATAGACATGATGGAGAAATGGGCATTTATTCAAGACTTTGGGTACGAAGATGATTAATTTTTCAAATTCAAAGCTATATAGCAGAACATCCTATTTTCTCTAGATAGTGTTCCATTGTTAATCGACCATTTCCGCGAAAATGATCGAGAAATTCCGAAAAAGCCGAACTCACGCCGAGTTATACTCTCTTAAGACAGTTTAAATACTAACTCCCTTAATCCGGCCTTTGTTCTGTCTTAAAGATCCTTGTGCTTAAAAAAAATTTTGATATATGAAATTTATCCGTCTTTAGCCATGAATCCTTCGTATGCACTTCTGGATCTACCCGTGAATGAGTGCAAGACTCTTGACGAAGACGGAGTGCTTTATACTTTTAAAAAGGCCGATCATGCCAAAATTTTGTTGAAGAACCTCGCCTTGATGCAAGCAAATGAAGGACTTTTGACAGACGTGGTCCTGCGCTCTACATCCAAAGATTACGAGGAGCCCTTTCATTCTATACTGCTTACTGCCTGCAGTCCTACCCTCAAACAGAATCTTACAGGAAGGTACTTTGATTTCACCGGCGGCAAACTCTCTTTGAAGGGATTGAGCACAGATGCACTTATTGCCTTTCGTGTTTTCCTTTACAAAACAGAGTTCCCATCACGTCAAGAACTGGTAGATGGCCTTCGAAAGGTTGCTGCAACATACGGAATCGACTCTCTGAAAAAGCTTTGTGACCGTAACAGCAATGAACAAATGTCGGTGTTGTGGAATAGTCACCGTGAAGGTTTGCTTTCGCAACTGTACGAGATGTACCAAAAGTCTGAGTTGACCTCCTGTTTGTTAGACGATGGTCATGGTGTAACACAGGCAGTCCATGCACCAGTTGTCGCAGCAGCATCGCCAGTGTTGTGGACAAATTTGGCAAATGATCTGTCCTCATCAGAAGAGACAAGATATCGTCTAAAGGAGATTGCGTCCCATGTCTTGGAGGATTTTGTGAAGTACATATATACAGGTAATGTTGCAGTGAACGGAGAAAACGTGGCTGGTCTTCTCAAAGCTGGATGTGGTTATGAGATTCCCGCACTTGCAAGAGCCTGCTGCGATTGGCTGGGTCTAAAGATGGATTGCTTTAATGCAGTCAATATCCTGTGGCTGGCACGTGAGGAGAATTGCAAAGAAACCAAGGTTCTTCAAGAAGAGGCCAAAAATTTCATAATTGGTAACTTTATAAGCGTTAGTGAAGAAGACGAGTTCGTCGAGCTTGAGTACGAAGATCTGAAAGCGATCATACAGTTCGACGATCTTAATGTGAATTGTGAAGAAGAAGTCTTTAACGCGGTTGCCAAATGGGTTAGTGCTGAGGATGAGCGCATACGTTACCTACCAGAGTTGCTGAAGTGCACTCGACTGGAGAATACAAGTCCCGAGTTCCTTCGAAGTCTTCTACAGCATCCTCTTATAATGAAGAGTGTTCCGTGCGTTGAATATGTTCAAAATGTCCTGGAAAGTCAAGTCTTGTCTCATTTGCAAGAAGACACAACTCCAACTGAAACCTTTTACGAGTCTGAGCAAGCCTTCTACCCTAATCAATACGGCTTTGAAGACGCTATTGCCAGTGACCTGACACCAGAATTTCTGACGTCGAAGTTAGAGTTTCCCGAGTCAGATATACCAGCTATGCAGACGCCAAGGAGGGGTCAAAGGAAGGATGGAACTCCTGACATGAGGTTTAAAGAGAACAGGCGATCGTTAGGCCTGCAGAATAAGGACCACTCTCCAGATATGCGGTTTAAAGTTAACAAACGAGGCCTCAACCCCGCTGTAAAAAAGGATGGCAGTGCAGACATGAGAT